GAGCGTGATTCTTCCTACGCCTGATAAACAACCGCAGAAAAGCCGCCGAAAACGGATACCCACAATACAGTATCAGCGATGGTTGCAAATCAGTCTTCGAAGCGGAACTATCAGATCGCCTCTCAGCTCAGCTATCAGCCGGAGGATTCATTGAACACTGGACGGCAATCAAGGAAGCCATCCAAACGTAGATCAAAACAACGGAAAATTCTGGCGCACGATCAAATAAAAAACGATGTATCTCCCCGATCTCGGTTGCCTTGCTTCGTATTCAAAGTACGACAAAGCGCACAAATCCCTTAAACGCCAGCTCATCAAGAGTCTGAGAAATGACCGCGAGAAGTGGTGGGTAGGGAAGTGCAGAGAGATGGAGAAGGCTGCGGCTATCGGTAATAGCCGCAACCTTTTTCGTTTAATAAGGAGTGCAGGACCAAGGAAAGCAGGCGTAAGTGAGATAATTAAGGAGTCTGGCGGCACACTGATGCAAACTCGGGGACGCCGTGTTGAACGTTGAGCAGAACATTTTAAGGCACAGTTTAGCTGGTCCCCGTCGACACAAGACCTCCCTCTCTCCGCTTCAATTGTGTAAATACTGTCAGTTCACATCAGTCCTCCATCCGAAATGGAAGTTACCCGGGAAATAAGTTATTTCAAACGGCATAAGGCTTTCGGCCCCGACGGGTTGTCCCCATCGGTTTTTAAGGATGGAGGTCTAGCCTTGTTTTGGAGTTAACAAAACTCCTGGGCTCAGTATGAAAGAGAGAGAACAGGTCCCAATTGAATGGTGTGAATCGGTGATCTTACCGATCTACAAGGAAGGTGCCAGATTTTCCAGTGAAAACCACAGAGTTTAATCAACACCATCTCCAAACTTCTCGCTTTTATCATACTCCGTCGATCACATCTTCACACCGTCGAATTCTAGAACACAGACACTACTTTCGTAAACCCACCATTTCTATCTTCCTCGATCTGAAGGCAACTTTCGACATAGTCGACCGCTCTAAACTCTGGCGCTGCCTCGCTCTAAAGGGTGTGCCCGAGAAGTTTATTTCAATATTACAATCGCTCTATACTAAAAGCGGAAGCCGAGTCCGGGCTAACGACACTTTCATCCGAGTTCACCACGGAGAGTGGTGTTCGACAGGGTTGCCCTCTCTCTCCGTTTCTATTTAACTTCGTGATAGATTTAATTCTTGAAAAAGTCTTATCCTCGTGCGAGGATAGCTTTATCAATTTACTCCCAGGTGTCAGACTGTCTGATCTAGAGTATGCTGATGATATTGTTACTAAGTGAAGATCCAGGTAAGTTACAAGCTTTTCTAGATAGTTTGAGTGCCAGTGTTACCATGTTCGGTATGCGTTTTGCACCTTAAAAGTGTAAAATACTTCTACAAGATTGGGCTGGTCCAGCACCCAGTCTCACCCTGACTGGGGAAGTAATAGAGGAAGTGGACAAAATTTGCTATCTGGGCAGCTATATCTCACCTGGCGGATGCATCAGAGATGAATTGTCTGCTCGCATACAAAAGGCTGCATTGGCATTTGCCAACTTGAGACATTTGTGGCGCCGTCGCGACATCCGGTTGTCTGTGAGGAGTCGAGTATATGCTGCAGCAGTTCGGCCAGTACTGCTGTACAGTGCAGATTTAGCCACTACGAGAACTTGATAGAAGTGGATTATCGGTTTTCGAACACCGCTGTCTACGTCGCATTGCACGTGTCTGGTGAGTAACCGGACTAGCAATGCTGAGGTTAGGCGTAGAGTTTTAGGCAGTCGCGGTCGTCCACTGGAGCAAGTGACGGACCTCCATAGATTAGTTGGGGTATGTGTTATGCCTGTCACCAGATAGGTTGCCACGGCGAGCGATATTCGCCGAGGCAGGTAATGGTCGGAAAAGGGTCAAGAGTGGTCAAACAAAGACCTGGGATGAGGGTATGAAAACCCTTACTAGGAGACTAGGTCACATGAGCCCCGTTTGACTCCCTGGCTGGGGACCTCGGGATGATAGTCACCGATGGTTGGATACACTGAATGATATGGCTGGATGTCACAAACACTGGCACCCGTGCGTTCACTCATTATTCCCCTAAAACCATGCAATATGAATTTTCTATCTTCCACTTTGATTTTTTTTGGGAAAATCATCCATCGAGAACCTAATCCACCTGTTTAGGTAAAGTCAGTGTCGCTGGCCTTCCAGGTTGGGGTCCGAAAGACTCCGTAACCGGTTGGTTGGAGGCACTGAACGATATGGCGACTAACCGATAGCAGTGTCGTCCTTGTTGTCATTTCTTATCAGGTCAGAACGCTGGAAGCGGTGTGTATGCACAATTAGGTTGTGTACTCTGTGTTGACTATAGAGGTTCACTTTTTTGTCGCCGTCAAATTAGGCCTAACCGTATCCATTTAGTACTTTATCCCTTATTTCTATTACACTGAGAGGTTAGCAGCCATTAGCGCAAATCACTTCTCTGTAGATCGCTGTACGATGCTGATGATGTAGATGATGACATTTTCGGTGTGCCCACTCTCCACAATCATTGTGCACGGTACCTCTTTTTCCCACGACCACTTTCGATTGCAAGTGATGCGTGACATATTTCCAAGCACATCTAACCTATCGGGGCCTTATATGTTTCGCCACTCCAAGTCCTGCGGCTTAGGTTACCGGTCTTTATTACAGAACAGCAGGTGCTCGTGACTGTGGGGCTTTCCTCGTCTGTTGTTCATCACACGAAATTGTGTAATAAAAAAGATCTGCACAGATTAAATGAGTTGCAAGATGCTAACAATGGGGAGTTTCAACCAAAAATGTGCGATATGGACCAAAATGAACAAAGGCTGATTTAATGTAAAAGTTTGAATACTAGCTACTAATCCAATAGTTCCAAAACTCTTGGNNNNGGTATATAGTGTACCTTACGTCAGATAGTCAGCCTTTTGAAAACAAGCAATAAAACGGACTGTAAACCTCGTTTTACTGGTCTTGCTCCTAAACTGGGTATAAATGCATGGCAAATTTCACGCCAGCGAAACCGAAAGTACCTCCAGAAGCCTCAGTACGGTCGGGGGTGGGTGTCTAGGGTTGCCACTGGTCACCCTCGCGAAATGCTCTCATACGACCAAGCGTCTCGAATAGCCTCTGCTGAGGAAGCCCTACTCACTGCCTTCTCGTGGCGGTGTTTTCTCACCAAAGTGAGAGGACGAAAAGCCGACATCCGGGGCCATAACCGGGTTGGTGGACCACTGGTAGTTCACCTAGGGGAATTGGTCAGAAGCCCTGATTCCAAACCAACCATGAGGAGGCGTACGAACCACACTCTAACCCTTTCGGTTGTGGCCGTGGTCACCACCTCGATAGGGCATCGAGGTGTATTGGGTACTTTGGACGTTTGACCCGTCCAAAAGGCGTATGATCCGNTGATCCGATGAACTGGACACCGGCTCCCAATGGACTACGGTTTTCACACACCGCCCCGCTGCCTTGCGGGTCAGGCTTTGGTTCGCCGAAGGCTTCGGTTGTGGATTCCTCAAGAAAATTCACCTGCCTTGGTCTGGGCAACCTGGCAGTATTCAGCCCACAAGCCAATCATGGAACATTTTCTTCTTTTTTATAAAGATTACTGTACCATGATTTGCCTGGCACGCAGTCCGTCCTCAGACAGGTGTGAAATATAGTATAATAATAATAATAATAAAATTGATTGTTTAGAGTACACGTAAGTCATTTGTGTTTTCTCTGTATTTCAGATACCATATCGGTTAAATTGAATAATGTCTGTCGGTGTTCCGCAACTTCTTCCGTTGGAATTGGTGGATAAATGCATCGGTTCACGTATACACATTATCATGAAAAACGACAAGGAAATGGTTGGAACTCTTCTTGGTTTCGATGGCTACGTTAATATGGTGCTAACGGATGTTACCGAATTCGAATTCACTCCTCAAGGAAAACGAATCACCAAGTTAGCCCATATTCTTCTCAACGGCAGCAACATTGCGATGATGGTCCCAGGTGGTGAGGGTCCTGAAATATGATCTACCGAATCTTGTGTTTGTCATGTACATACTTGATAAAATAAATAAAGTGTATTCTTTCATACAAAGGTTACCTTTTTTGTAATAGTATTGTGTACAATAGACCATGGAAACGTGCATTCGGGTGGGGGTATATAGATAATCAAGTTTCCCTAGTGTGGTGGTGGTATTTCATGAGATCACACGGTTAGGTTTCAGGTTTTCATGGTTTTGTACTATACGAAAGTTTCACTTTGTTTTTGGTAACATTGAGCGGTAACCGTTTGCATTTCCTTGATGCGTTATATGTAGTCTTGTACACTTACGTTATGCCCAGCTGTTGCCTCCTATTCATTGTGCGACCGTGAATTCAATATCGTGCTTTAACTGATCGAGCTGTTTAAGGATTTTGTGTGTGTGTGTGATCTTATTTAATATGAAAAGTCTGTCGTCAGCGTATCGTACTTAGAAGTGTGTGGCTTTTGGTTTAGTTTCTTCTCCAGGGTTCATGAAGCTTTCCGCTGAGACTGGCCTTAGTGGGCTACCCGTTATACGACGACTAGACAATAACAATTTTTGTTGAAAAAGAATTGCACATCTCTACTATATGGAGGAAGTAATTTTCGGTGATGATATGATGAAACGTTTGTCTCATCGGCATGTGAACAAACAATATGACAGTTGACAAAATATTGAAAATTGGTTTTCGTAGCTAGGGTGAACTGAATTCCTTTGGGCCTGTTTGCCGAGTTTGGCAATTTGTTTGCAAACGTTTCATCACCAGCTGAGGTGAAATCATCAGTGCTTGTGAAGTGGCAATGTTTGCAAACAAATTGCGAAGCTCGGCGAACGGGCGTAATAGAATACCAACAGTTTCGCATAAAGCAACATTAGTGAATAAGGTACAAACGTCTCAAGAGGTCATGTATTTTTTGGGTAAACGTGGATTTTTCGACGAAATCGAACGAGTCCTTTGGCGGATATAGTTGCGAAACGTTTGCCTGATCGGTTGAATGAATTTAGCTAACCGTTGGGTTCTCCAATCATGCATCATGGGTCATAACGGAACAGCATCCCTATTCACTTTTGAAAAATTGCACTATCGCGAACCTCGGAGTGGGAGTTGAGTAAGCATGACACGGATAATATAGCCATCCTCATGCAAGTGACTTACGGTGAATTGTTCAACGGTTTGTGTTCGGTTCGATACAGAAAGTTTAGGAGCAAATCCACCTCGGTTCTAAATCACTGCATTTTTGGGTGCAATCCAGTTTGTTCATTAGAACCTGACCTGATCCCTACTGATGAATTCCTCTTACCCATATAGTTTCGTTTGTTCTCAACCTTGTCAATCATTCGAACTTGTCCTGTTTGTATGTGCAGTACGCAGCATAAATAGTAGAACGAATTCTAGATAGAAATATTCATGAACTGACTACGACGTCGTTTGCCTGTTCGGTTGTATGGAGGATGAAAAAAACACTCGAGACAGACGAGCAAATTTTGTTGTTCCATTCGGCATGCGCTTTGTACTTTCAAAGTGATACTGCAAGACTGGGTGTTGCCGAGTCCCGTTCTGAAGCTGGTTGGTCAGGAATTAACTGAAATTTACTACGTCTATTTAGATGACTACATGACCAACGACGGTAACGCATCAAAGGAGATAATCGCACGCATTTCCAGCGTACACAGGACCAAAACACCATTGGTGACGACATGACGTTTCACTAAAGTTGAAAAGTCGCGCATATTGTGCCACCGCACGATCGGTTCTGCTTTGCAGTTTTGAGGCATTAAATTTGCGGGTGGAAGACATCCGTCGCCTAGTAGCCCAGGTGGGATGGATTGAGCTGGTTAGTAACTTAGAAGTAAGTTGTCAGGTGTTTGGGAATGCATCAAATACGAACATGTCGCATTGAATTCAGCCTAATAGGCTCCGTTGGTTAGGACACGTTTTGCGTATGTTTAACGGTGGCTACCGCACTGTCTTATTTGCAAGGGCCCTTAAAGACTGGAGAAATCCACGTGCAGGTCATCAGATAACGTGGGGACGAGGCATGAAGGAATGCACAGAGCGATTAGGTAGAGTAGGTGTCTCATCTTTCAGGTTAGGGTCCAAAAGACTCAGCAACTGGATGATTAGAGTCACTGATGTACATGCCGGCAAACCACTAGCAGTGGAGTTCTTTTCATTTTTATCAAACCAGAATGCTTGAAAATGTGTGTGAGTTGACTATAGAGGTTAGGTTTCTTTTCCGGTCCCTTAAAACTAAGCCCAACCCCTATCCTCCTTACACATTCTCACTAACTTTGTGTGCGTTTGACAGTGATCAGTGAAGTTCGCTTCACTGTATTACACTAAACGACGACGACGATGATGATAAACTGACTACTGCCAACTTAGTTGGACGTAACTCCACCACCGTCAGTCATGTTTAACTAAATATTTGTCATGTTTGTGATCAGGTTCTTTTAAGCATCGGTGGGAGCTACGTCGTAATGTGAAATTTCGTGCTATTGCGGCGTGCATATTCCTGTCATGAGCAAACTACGCTTCACCTGTTATTGCACCTGCCGGTTTTACATCGTTTCTGGTTTTTTTATTTGGTAAACACCAGACTGTGTTGTCGGTAGGTGAAGATTAAACCGCAACGAAAAAATAAATGACTGTGTCAGTTCTTAGATCATTATCGTAACAACTGGTCCGGATTGCCTTCTGCAATTTATCTTCCTAACATTACCAATGGAACTTTGTCAATATCCGTTCCCTCACAATCGAAGGGTTGTATCTATTACACTAGTGATGGAATGTTAGGTGCGCGCCATTTGGTCCACATATATAAGATGTGCCGAACTTTGGTAAAATCTTTTGATGCTAACTAATTTCCGATCTTCACCAGTCCCCGTATCATCAATCACACATCAGGTCTCATGTTGAAGCATCTCGAAGGTTGTTAATTTTGTTATCCTACTCCGCGGTAGAGACGAACCTGCCAGCGTTTGTGTTCGTTAGTATAGTAATGCATTCAATGATATACGCTGGGGAGTTTCATGCAGCTTTCTCTTTTTTATAAAGATTGTTGTACTATAATTTGTATGGCACACTGCGGATTCCGTCGGGTATGAAACACACATACACGATAGACAAAGTCATGCATATTTCAGCCGAAAGTGGTCTTGAATCTGAACCCAGTGCTCAGTTATGAAAGTATTCCTAAAATTGTGAACGCTGCCATGTCCTATCCGATCTTTTACTGCTTTCAGCAACAGAACATTGTATAGGAAACCATTATGTCACACTGTTTCTGTTCCAGGCTCAAAAAATAACCAATATATCTTTTTCAGACCCACGATTGCATCGTGTTTGCCGTCAAAGTATGTGCGTAAAAACACCATAGTTCTGCTTCGATCGAATCGGTCGTAACCGTCGAGCTAAGAAAGCCGACGTGAATGTGAACGCACTAGCTCCTCTGTAGCAAGGGTTGGTCGAATTCACATTCACGATTAATACATTCCACTGTCTCATAACACCCACTCACTAGGTATCGAAAATACACACACACATTACCGCAGTGGTCATCAGTGCCCAGTCCACGGTACTCGTAGAAAATGTGATCAATCCTTTTTCCATGCACTTTAAGTCATAATAAATGATTTTAAATGTGGGATTTGATTTGTTTTGATGATGAATTCGTCGTGTAAATGAGGCGTGAACTGAAAAGCTAGGAAGCACTGGACTGCTATTTCGACCTGGTTGGGTCTCATTTTATAGAACGCTAGAACTGTGCCCATCCATGTAACACAGTTTATTGACTCATCTTATAAGTAATCATGTAAAGGAGCCTGCCCGATCTGGAGCAGGCCACTTAACATCAGCGTTGAACTTTGTGTTGATAAGCTAGGAGCTTATGGCAAAGTCTGTCAGCATCACGTCCTCATTAGGACGCAGTGACCATGCAGTTCTGCTTTTCGATTACATTTACCACGTTTCTGTAGATGGATACTTTAAAACCAAAACGCGCACCGTTGCGGTATTCAAGCGATGGACTCCCGATAGAACAGTTTGATCCATTGGTGTCCTGGAAAAGATTTCTTGACGCTGTAACCACTGCAAGGATCAAGCCTACATTTAAATCATAAATCACAGTTATCACCTGGTCGCAGCCGAATGGAAAAATAGATGTCACCGAGTGAATTCTCCTTGCGAGAGTTGAAAAGATGTCTGATTGCTGACACTTCGCTTGCTGTTATCAGAGGCAGTGTTATTTTGGTTTAACTCATTTCCAACTATCCGAATTCACATATGGTGTATGCCGTACCTGGAATTGAAGGCGAAGCTTGTGTAGACTGTATGCGGGACTGCAGATTATCGGTGATAGTAGGTCTCAGATAACAACGATACGCAAATCAATAGGCTGGATGTCAAACACTGTGGCATTTTCAAATGGACGTTAACCATATGGTTTAGTTCCTCCTGTAACCGGGATCCATTTAGGGGTATGATAAGGCCAGGATTGAGAGGCTTACGGCTAGGTAGATTAAATCTGGATTCTCCAGCACCGGGTTTTGAGTTTCCATCCATAACGAGGTGTTAATGATTTTTGGGAGATGTACAATTACAATTTTATTCTTAAAGGACCTGTAAATATTTTTGTGTGAGTTTTCCCGTGGGTTTCAGCATCCAAGTCGTGGAAATGTGTTTTATGTGCAACCATATCACTTACACTACTTACAAGTAGTTTGATCGTTTTGTTAAAACGTCATTCAACACCAGGGGAAATTGAAACAGTTTTTAATGTGACCGTTCAGCCCTGAGGGTTTGGATTCAGCTGACGTTCTTCCTCAGATGGTATATAATACCATACCGTTGCACTTAGACACCAATCTTATCCCCTCAGAAGAGCAAGCGTGACCTCCTTTGCTCACGGCAAACATGATGCAGATGCTTTTCCGTTCATGGTTCCATATCATTATTGTTATTTTCACAAACACCTGAGTTGACATTGTGTCAAACAAATCACGATAGAACAATCTTTACAATAAAGAAAAAGGTCCAAGATTTGCTCGAGGACACGATACTACTTAGTTGCTCAGGCCATCGCAGATAAATGTTCTTGGGGAATCCGCATTCAGATCCTTCAGCAACCCGCAGCCTGACTCGGAAGGTAGCTGGACGCTGTGTGAAAACCGTAATCCATTGGGGACCGGTGTCCAAATCATCGGATAATATGCCCTTTGAACGGGGTCAAATTTTCAAGGAACTGGTGGTCACTACCACGACCAGGAAGGTGGTGTGTACCTGGTTCATACACATCTTTTTGGGTGATTTCCCAGTCAGGGCTTTTAGCCGACTCCCCTAGGTGAACTGCCATCCGGTTATAGCCCCAGATGTTGACCCTTTATCCTCTCACTGTGATGGGAAAGCACCTCTGGTACGAGAGGACATTGAGCAGGGATTCCTCAGCAGAAGCCATTTGAGACTCTTGGTCGTATGGGAGCAGTTCGCAAGAGAAAGGTGACCAACCGCAACAGGATCACACTGAGGAATTTTATAAAGTGGCCTAACTCTTTAATCCCTTTGCATGCTTCTATCGGAGGCAGTGCTGTGTTGGGTTAAATCATTTTCAACCATCCTTTTTTCTATCTCAAACAGATAACTCCAACGACCGTCGTCCTCACCTGTATGTGCTAAAAGTTTTTCTTGTTCAAATCACCTATTTAATGTCCGCATGAAGTGTTTTTTTGTCAATAACTACCCCATCATTTCCTTCAAATGAATCCCTTATAAGCGATTCCCCTTCGACTACGCCCCTTGAGATTGATTGTCCACGATGAATTTCAGTGGGATATTTTCCAATCGTGGAAATTTCGGTGCCTAGTTCAACCTATGAGCTTTACAATACATTTTGGCCAACATTAAAAGTAAGAGGGGGAGTCAATTTTTCGCACCTCAAATGTCGTCTGGCTCGCATCCAGAAAAGATTACTGCAATGATCGTCGTTACTGACTTCCCGCATGGACAGCAAAAAACGCAAAATCCAGGTCCATAGGCCGAACAGTTAGTTCCGGGAAGCTGGCTCAAACTAGTTGATCGTAAAACCTCTAATCGTATGCATACCGGGAAGAGATGGACGCACGCTGTGGTTCAAATGTGTGATAGTGTGTATTCGTCACTCTCAGGAGTGCAAACTCTCCTGGCGGCGAAGGCAAATTATCAGTCGAGACAGGACCTCGAACCGATTATACAGTTGTTGTTGTCGTCATGATACAGTTTATACCACTACTTGTTCCAAACGCACAGTAGTTTGGGATCCCAAACCGGTGAAACACTGAATGCGAATTCGCAAGAGTTAATAAATGCAAAAGAAAACAACAGATGACCTTGGCTTTATGGAATTAGGAAATAACGAAGAAAACTAAGTAAGTATACAAAGGAATTCATGAGAAGTGCAACCAGTCATTCCGATCCGTGTATCTGTGTGTGTCACGTCGGCCGGTGTCTGGTCGTGGATGTGAATGAGACGCCGTGCATTCGTGTGCGTGTAAGATAATATTCTGAGAAATGATAATACAAGAGGGGATTAACTCAGTCACAAATCTGGTTCTAAGTAGGGACTGTGTGCCGAATTGGCAATTGGATTTGAATTAAATCAGGAAAGAAGAAAGAGGGATGAGTTTAAAAGATTGAATAAAACTTGCTCAGGTGACTGGAGCGAATCGCAGATGGTAAGGGTGTGTGTGTGGAGGGGGGGGGGGGG